GGGATTAAAGGTGTGTGCCACCACTGCCCAGCTTGATGGGAAATTTTACAAACTGCTTTTATTTTGAAAACACGAGAAGCTGTGAAGTGTAGGGAACTGCTCAGAATTCCCAGCTCGAGAACTGTCAGCTGCAGGAATGGGCAACTGTACAAACCCCAAGTCCTAGCCCACTTCCCATTGAAGCTGGTCAGAGCATCACTGTCAGAAAATGTGTTTTTGCTTTGCTCTGGGGAGAACTCAGAAGACAGAGCTCAGTGAGTGGAGGTGGGGCAGACTGAAGCTTCTGGAACCCTAAAGAGGTAGTTCTCTTTCCCTTTCATGTGTTCGTATACGCTTTATGTATGTATGTGGCTTGGGCTGGTTAAGTCTGTCAGTGTTCCATTTACTCCCAGTCTGGAACAATAAAGTAATTGTAATAATTAATCTTGTTCATAGGAAGGAAAACGCCCCAGCTACCTATCTATTTGTTAGAGGTCACGAAACACAAAGTTTTACTAGCTTTCCTGTGCAAAAATAATCACTTTTTAAGAAAAAGAAACGTTATGTTGCTTCAGATGTGAAAGCCCCCTGAGTTATGGTTCTGGACTTGGTGGGTGAGCCAGGTCGCTGGTCCCACACTGAAGCCGTGCTGCTGGTCCCACACTGAAGCCGTGCTGCTGGTCCCGCACTGAAGCCGTGCTGTGGATGGCTGGTGGTTTTCTTCCACTTGCTTTCTCAGTACTATCAGTTTGTTTTATTTTTAATCATCTTGCTTTCTTCCGAAAAGTAGTTCTAGGAGGAACTAAGTTAGCCAGAGATCATTTAAAAGACATTATCTAAAGAGATTTCTCTACATCCTGAGTGACAGAGGGGGTGCAGTTTGAGACAGGGCCTTTTGTGTAGGCTGAGAGCCCTGGGATCTGCGATCCACCTCAGCCTCCATGGTGGAGGCAGAGCCCTCCTGAGTGTGCACAGCTCTCACCAGTGAGAGTGCATGTTCACACCTTCACATACTGTTTATATGTTCTGGACTGTTTCAGGCATGTGTACTTTGCTACCTCAAAAAAGATTTGAGTCCTCGTACAAGAGCCACATTTTCATGGACACATCTCCTGTTCATCTTTCTCTGTTGCAGACTTGACGCACTATGCCAGCAAACTTGGATTTCATTAAGTGGGTCATCTGAAATTCCAAGTGGAATTGGCTCTTGGCACTCATTCTTCCATCCACTCAGTCCTGTCTTTTTAAATTTACAATAGTGAATTTTCTTTTGCCAGAATGTTACGGTTTACCCATCAAATAAACCCAGACGTTCCTAAAGTGTGGTAATATTTTGGGTTGGAGTTGACAGTTCGTGTCATCTTCCGTAGCATCTAAGTAGATGGAGAAAAAGAGAAGAAAAACAGAAACTCCCTCCCAGGTTTGAGTTTGTGTTTAGACTTTCAGATACTGTAGTGTGTGCTTTTTCAATATCTAAGATAAGAAAACCATACATCTTTAAGTATAAAAAGTGTTTCAGATTCAATTAGTAAGTTGAATTAGGTCAGTAAAAGAAAAATGTCAAACATAAACAAATAGTTTCTTTTACACATTCAGAGTGCCTGTTGAATTACATGTTTAAAACAAACGTCAGGGGCTAGAGGGATGGTTCTTTGTGCAAGAGTACTGAGCGTGAGGACCTGAGTTTGGATCTCAGCATCAATGTCACAACTCTGGGTATGGCTTCACCTCCTGGTAATCCCAGTACTCTGGGAGGAGAGGAGACAGGAAGGTCACTGGGTTTGCTAACTCTGGTCTTGCTCCAAGTTCAGTGAGATAATAATGTTATAAGGGAATAAGGTGGAGAATGATAAAACAAGGCACCACACTCACGTACACACGTCCTATCCATCCACCCTCGACATACACACATGTGTGCATGCACATGTGAGCACACACCACACACACACACACACACACACACACAAGCACATGTGTGCACACCAGCAATCTGCACCCAGGAGAGAAGCATTGGCTGCAGGTAGCACAGGCTCCCCTCAGCCCACCTTGCTTGCCTGTTCAGACACCTGCTCCTTTTTTGCATAGTTACAGTATTTGCTTTGAAATCAGTTAGACATTCAGATCCCACCTCTTTCGGGGTTACCTGGGTGACTCTCAGGCTCACATGGTGAACAGCTCTCAATTTCCCTTGTTCAAGTAGGAGTAGTGATATCTACAGTAAGCTGTAAGGGCAGGGGCAGTGTGCATGGTGCCTAGCATATAATAGGGCTTTCTTTGACAGTGACCATTTACTTACTGTTTGTTCCCTGATGGCCTCTAGCAGACCCTTTGAGCAACAGAAGTAAAGCTAGCCTGTGGAGCATTTTCTGTCATGTCATAATTTGTGTTACCTTGGGAAGGCACATCTGGCTCCCGTGCAGAATTCTGAGCTTTGTGGTATTGTATCACTGTGTCTGGCTGGTGCATCTGTCCTGAGTGTGCTTGCCACATGGTCCCCTGGTGAGCTCACAGAGGGTTGGGACTCGAGGACACGTGTTTGATTTTACCTGTTCCACAAAGTCAACATGGTAAACACATTAGGCTCGCCGTCGGTATTCCTTCCATAAATGAGTTAAAACCAGTGGTACATGGGCTGTAAACAGAACAACTCCATACCATTGACCTAATAGAGTCACAGGTGGAAGAACACTAGGTCTTGAATTTTTTTCTTGGCCCCTTGAACACTCACACTTGGAAGCCTTGGCAGTTCTAACTGCTCAGAGTTCCTTAGCCTTTAGCTTAGGGGGCATACACATGCTCCTTGGCTGTGTTTCACTCCCAAACTCCCTTGTCTGCTGAAGAGCCGGGACACTACAGTGAGACAACCGTTATATACTGCACCGGCACCTGAGCAGGGTGTGCACTGTGCACTCATAGAAGTACCCTGTGTCTCGGTGGTCAGTGGTAGAGCTCGTCTCTTGTGTTTGCACCCTAGACTGTGGCTTCTAGAGGCACACAGTCAAATCACAAAGACCTCACCTCTCCTATCCCTGCCATTTTTAAATCGTGGATTTTTATATCTTTGGGAGTCTTTTGAAATTTTTTTTTTCTCTAGAGTGTTGCTTCTCAGTGTTCACAGTCTCTTCATCTTTTATATCTGTACATATATGGGAAGCCTGTACATACGTAGCAAAGACACTCACTGTATTACAAAAACACATGTTGGTGGGTACGGTCTTTTTAACACGAAGCAGGCAGGGCCAGGCATGGTGCACATCTTTAATTCTTTACTCAGGATGTGATGACAGACCGTTGTTCTCTGTGGGTTCCCTTCTCCCCTCTCTAAGTCTACAAAGGGAGTTCCAGGCAGCCAGGAGTTTACAGTGAGACCCTGTCTCAAAAACACACACACAAGCAATGATACAGCGCAAGCACATGTTAAAACTTCACTGATGCTGTCAGGCTAGGAGAAGTGTTGAAGGAGTCATACTTCCTTAGCTGGGCTGGGGCCCCATCTTGAAGTGTTGCCTCCAGGGAATCCTAGCTGCCTCGCTGCCTAGCAAAGCATCCTTCTCAGTGGCAGGGCGGAATGATGCCGGCAATGATGCCTGCCCCTGCTGGGCTGTACCCTGCTGCTCTGGGACTCTGCCCATTTCAATGAAAGGTCTCATTTAGAAAGAGCTCATGAAAAATGTGTGGTATGTACATTTCTCCACAGACGTGCATTTCTCTTGGTAAAATTTGCTGTTGGCAGGTTTTCACTTCTACTCTGGACAGTGTGAAACAGGGGCGGGGCCACAGTGGAGCTCGCTCATAGAGCGTGGCGTATGTGAGATGATCCTGTGTTTTCTACAAAAAGTAATAACATAGTATTTTGAAAAGCACACTGTTTATTTAGCCTTAGTTTAATACTGGTTTACTCTTTGAATTTTCAAATTTGAAGGAACTTAGAAACAAGGTGGCCTCCCAGGCTAAAAGCGAGCTCATAACTCTGAATAGGTTTCTCCTCAGGCATCACACTCGCAGACTGCTGGGTCCCACTCCTGCCTTCCACGCTCTCTAGTCTGCCTTTTAGATGCTTTAGTCGTATGAGTTCTACATGGCTCTGGACATCTCAATTCTAAAACTGCCAAAATGTGTTCAGACCATGTGAGCGTCGATGTTGTTCAGCCCTGAAACCAGTAGATACTTTCATGTCCTGCCTCCCCTGCCTTCTGTGTGGCATGTGCTTCTGAGTGAGAGGCCACCCTTGTGTGGTACCTGCCAAAATGACCAATCCTTCCCTTCCCGACAGTACTAGATAAGAAGCTGTGGTACTTTTGGTAACCTTCTGAAGCAGTCATTAGAGCAAACTTAAAACCCACTGCCCCTATACCTCTAATCATTCAAGATGCAAGAGTCCCAGTTGTGGTCTTGCAGAAGAAGATGCTGCCAGACGGGGCGTCCATGCATACATCACCCCATGCTGTCAGGCACAGGCTCTGAGTGAATCTGGCATGGGCTTTCGTACCCTGACAGCTTCACTGTACACTGCGATACTACCCAGGTCCCCTCCCCTCTCCCACCATTCTTGATTTCCAGCTTGAGTTGGTACTGACATGGTTCAGGAATGGCTCTGACCTTATACAGTAGCTCTGTAGAGAGTTTTCTCAAGGAAGGGATTCATCCTTTATGAGGCATTATTTCACAAATGGTTCTCTTAATATGCATGGCAATAGTCTTAAAGATCATAAACTTGAAAAGTGTGGGTTTGGGGTTTATCTTTCAGAGGACACATTTTTACACCTTTTTGTTAGGTATAGCATGCCAAGAACTACTACAGAGGCTTGGTCAATAGGGGACATTGGTTTTGGTAAGTAAATTGGTATTTACAGTCACCATTTTGAATTCCAAAGGATGCTGAAATAGTTTAGACAAGTACTGACAGTCTCCAAGTTCCTGTGTAATACTTAGCTATGTCATTGGGATGCGTATGTATGTATGAATGCATGCATGCACGTATGTATGTATGTATTCTAACTAACTATTGTCTTTGACCACAGGAGCTCTTACCAAAGTGAAGGAGAGTAGGCGGCACGTGGAAGAAGGGAAGATGGAGGTCCAGAAAGCCGACGGCATTCAAGACCGCTGTAACACTATTTCCTTCGCCACGTTGGCTGAGATTCATCACTTCCATCAAATTAGAGTAAGAGACTTTAAATCACAGATGCAGCATTTTTTACAACAACAAATAATATTTTTCCAAAAAGTGACCCAGAAGTTGGAAGAAGCTCTTCACAAATACGACAGCGTCTAATGACCACACATGGGACTGCACTCTTGTTTCCAGTTCAAGGGTAATCTCCACAGCAGAACAAAACTGCTTTCTAAGAGCTATTGCCAACTATATAGGTGGTGGTACAAGGACGGCTTTGTGTTCAGCTGGAACCTGGCTGGATATATAATTATGTAGGAAAGAAGCAGTTAATATGGTTATGTAGCAGAGATAGTACCACACTTTGTAACTAAATTATACTATGTATGCCTACACTACCATTGTAACTTTTGGATAATGATTATACTATTTGCCTTATTGCTTTTTGAAGTATGGATATATTAGTGTATACTTTGTAGACCTCAAAACCCATGAAGAGTCTCAAAGAAGCTGGCTGGATAAAAGCCTGCTGTGGATGCCTTCTTAGTCTCCTAGATCGAGATGACCTAAATTCAACCTATTCTCTGTTTACAAACTCCAACTAGAGCAGCTATGCGACTTTGTGCCTTTAGACCGGTTGTTTTCCTTTCTGTCCCACCTGTGTTTGAGCCCCAACTTTTCTGATGGCAGGAGTGAAAGGCAGGCGCATTGATGACAAGCCGATGAAAAACTCCCATTTCTGGGGGCGGTGGGAGAAGCAGTGGCCATCACTTTGCACAGGAAGCGTCACCTGGTAAGATGCTGGCAGTTACAGAGGCATGACACGTCTCTGGATGTGAAGTCTCGTAGGGGAGAAGGCAGTGCACCATATTCCCTTACAGCTGTAGTACATGACCTCGACTCAAGGGTCGCACAGACTGGACCTGAGGATTTCAGCAATGCCCTTAGCACGTGGAGAAGGAGGAATCCGATCGGAGATAAAGTATAGAAACAGTGGGTGACAACGCACTCCGTCTTAGTTTGGGGGAGGGTCTCCTGTCTTCCTTTTTTTTCTTTCTTTTTTAGCTTGAAATTTTCTTTTGATGTTCAGCTTTTTGTTTTGATTTCAAATGGATCTACACTGTTAACTGAATGAGACTCCACTGTGATTCACTCGTTTACTTAATCAAAACAATTTCAGGGATGTCTGTAAATTTCAGTGTTGTGCGCAATGAGAAGGGCTGTTGGTTGACTTAAGGAGGGACCAGAAATAATTTCTACTATTCCAATACTGAAGGAAAAAAAAATACTGATTTATACTGTTTTTAAAACTAAATATTGATAAAGCCCCCCCTCAGAACATTTAACCTTAAAAATTATTTTGAATATCGTCTTTTATTATTAGAAGGGGACTGCAAATGACTGATAAATACCAAAAAGATTCACAAGCAGCTTCATTTAAAAAGCACAAAGAGGTTCTGGTGTGAAATGCCCAAATCTCAAATGTTTTTTGTAGTTGCTGAGCTAAATAATGTGATCCTTGAGTTTACAGATGTAAAAGCTGTCACTGAAGGCTGCGGTACCTGTATCTGGTGTCCCTGTGACCTACACTTCCACCACCCCAGAAACCCTGGTACTGATATGGTAACATGGGGGATACAGAGGCCAGTCTCAGAGGGGGTGATCCACAGTTACCCAAAAGGGTCAGCTTTCAGAAAGGTCAAAAAAGGAAAGGCGAGTGGGATAATTACTTCACAGCATATTTACTCTCCAGGAAGTAATCACATATGGGTTGAAATTTTAGAAACAGATGATGATCATTTTGACCTCTGGTCAAATCCTTGTACTTCAGAACTCGGAGGCGGACGTGGCATCATGTGGTGTTGTCTTCACTACAGGCGCGTGAAACTGCTGCCAAAAGCCATTGTTCTCTTAGAAAGCAACTTCCTCTCGTTGACTGCAAAGTTCAGTTAGATAAAGAAAACCTATATATATTTAAAAATTAATTTTCTTCCAGACTTTTGGAGGTTACAATGATAGCGTTTAAGTTTGAATTGGTTTTGAAGAAGCAAGCTCTCCGAGTGTCATAATTCGAACGTCACATTCATTTGCCTCTTTGCTTTGATGGTGGTTTGATTTTTTTTTTCTTTTAATAAAATTACTAAACTTGTGCAATAGTAGCAAGGACATTACCTGAGGTGTCTTGTATGATTGTGCTTTAGCCAGGGTGGACATAGCTTAAATTATAAACTAAAGATGAAAGTACAAAGAAGTGTAACGTTCACGCTGCCTCCTCCCGAGATAACGTTCATCCTTCCTAACCACGTAGCATAATGCCACCGATTCATGGGACTCTAAATGAATTCTGTGGGTTAATGCACCAGACTTACACGTGTCCATTTTCATCCATGATCCTTACTCTCTAACGTTCTTGGTCCTATTGAAACATTTCAGTATCTAAACATACTGCAATGTTAATACCCAAGAGAAAAGCCATTACACGTATGCTGGTCACGCGATCAGCGTGGTACCGTTTTTTTTTTGTTGTTGTTGTTGTTGTTACTGTTGTTGTTTTGTCATTTCTGTTTTTTAAATAAACTATCATGCCCTTCAAGCCATCATTTGTCTTTATTTCTAGAATTTGTAATTTTGGTATGTAATTATATATAAGACTAGGGCAGGTGGGTGGCCCTGAGCCTAGTCTGAACTATTTTAATTGTTGGAGCAGGGAGTTGTTTATGGGTGGTAACCATGGTGCAGTGAGACTGGTTGTACAGCCATGCATAGTTTTCTAGGTGGTTGTATCTGAAGGCACAGTTCACACCCTGAATGGGGAAACACGTTTGAAAGTGAAACATCAATTAGAGCCCATTGGCCGGAAGCGTGTGGCGATGGGAGTTTCTCAGGCTTCCCTGGTACTACCATTATCATTGTCTTGTGTTTACTGCTAACAAGACAGCAGACTCTCAAATGCTGGTTTTTAACTGTCATACATTTTGTTGCTGTTCTCATAACTAAGAACCTGAAAGAGATTTAAGTTTGCCAAATGGAACATGTTACGTTTGTGTGTAAACCTTCACATGGCAGTATCTACTAAGTTCCTTGATCGAGACATTTCCCTCCCCTGTGGGTTTTAATTCTCTCAGAATCAAATACTCCATCTGAGCCTTTAGTGTCCTGGGCATTATCCGCTTTTCTCATTTCAAGTTTGTCTTTGGTTAGCAGAGTAAGTCAAACAGGGTACTGATTCTTTTTAGATGGGATATGTTGAATACTGTTTCCTTCCTTCAGAATGTTATGAGTAGTTTGGATCAGATGCATTCATCTTTCCAAAAATAAACAAAGGTTGATTCATTCTCAGCTTCAGTAGGGTGATATGTTTTCTTCTTTCACCAAGGAAGTGATCTCTAACATGTGACACAAAGAAACTGAAGCATATGGCTCTCCATCAGCTTTCAACTCTACTGGCCACTTGTGTCGTCCATGGAACTCTGAGTGGATCAATGTCAAGCCATAGGCCATTCGGGTGGTCTCACCGAATATTTATGTCAGTAAACTGAGATCTTTGAGATGATAGTTAACTTGGATTCAACCCCAAACACACAGTAGGTGTTGTTGAAATAAAATCCTTACAAACTGTCTGCAATGGTTACGAGAAAGGGGCAAATTCAAACCTGCAGAACTCAAGAAACAGCTTGCAAGGGACAACGCAAGAGGGGCCAGAGTGCCTGGAGATTCCATTTGCTCCCTTTGGGGTTTTGCAAGGTGATCTTTGTGCATTGTTACAAACCTGCCTTCCCTCTCTACTTTGGCCCCTCCAGCCTTCCTTTCTCAAAGGACCTGCAAGGGAAGACAGGAAGTGGTTGGCCCCTCTCACCATGAACTGCATCTGGTGGTCCTCACAGTGAGCCTCTGAGGAGTTGTCTATCTATTCCCAGTTATGTGTGGGTTAAAACCTCAGTGAGGTCTTGTGTCTTTTCACAGAGATCACATAAACTAAGGGATGCCACTGCTGACACTCATTCTGGGATCTGCCTGAAGCCTATTTTAATTGATTTTATTGGGTGACACATCTCTTCTTTTTAACATTCTCTAAGTACTTCCCCCCCCCCCCATGTCCCCAGCATAGGAACCCTAGCATTCTTTGGCTGTGACATAAAGGTGCAGAGGAAGCATCTAAAATCTGATTTGCTCCTTTCTGGCTGGGGAGAATGTGTATGGAGTAGCTTTGTCTTAATGGAAAGAACTGACTAAAGTCTTGACAGACTGAGAAGCATGTCAGAGCTTACTGATGTCACCTAGCTTCCGTCCCGTACAAGTAACTTGTGCCTTAAGAATGCTCTTGGTTGAGTCTGGGAAAGATGTTTGATCCTAGATGGTCAGAGTGTAGTTCTGACAAATACTACTTGGTCACACAGGTGGGAACAAAAGAGTGTTCTCAAGTGTTAAGTTCTGGTTACTAAGAAAGCATGGGAGGAGCCGGGCAGTGGTGGCGCACGCCTTTAATGCCAGCACTTGGGAGGCAGAGGCAGGCGGATTTCTGAGTTTGAGGCCAGCCTGGTCTACAGAGTGAGTTCCAGGACAGCCAGGGCTACACAGAGAAACCCTGTCTCGAAAAAAAACAAAAAAAAAAGCATGGAAGGATGATGCTGTGCCAATACTCTGGACAGGAACCTAGGAAAAACCCCCACAGTGGAAGCCAGGAGTCTGAGGTGGAGGGAAGTCAATCAGGATTGGTTTGTGGCCACAGCCCTGGAGGCCACAAGTTCTAACTAGGCACTGGTCCCTTAATGTCCCTATATCATCATTCATGTAGTGGACACAGAGCTCCCAGATGTGATAATGGCTGTCTTAACAGTCAGTCCATCCTCACTGGTAAAGTATTTCAGTCATGTATTGAGGGCAAATTGCAGGCAAGACTGTCCCGGAGAAGTTACATTCAACGGGTCTTGAAACTCTCAAGAGGGTGTTCTATTGCTTTGTGACTTTGTTAGCCCGTTGAGAAATGGACTCTGAGGTTGAAGTCATATTTTCCCTGCGCTTCACGTTTTCATACACTCCAGGAAATGACTCCCAGGCCCTCAGAGTTGCTGGGTTGGCAGGCTTCTGTGCAAGCTGAGCCAGCACATCAGAAGAATGACACTTTGGAGCCAGAGGCCTGGGTCAACTCCGAGCTTCCTCATACCCCATATGACCTCAGGCAGTTGGCTGACCCATCCTTGCCTTGTGTTGTCCAGTAGACCTCCTTAGAGTTTATGACACTGGGAATATTGATTCAGACCACCATGGAAAGTCCTTAGTTGTTTTGCAATTGTCTTTCTCCAAACAGATACTGGAAGGGATAATTGATTCCAGAATTAGGTAATGAGTATCTTACATGACCTTGAGCTAGTGTATGTGTATAACCTGCAGCCTATGGGCCTCGTGTGCCCAGGATAGCTATAAATGTGTCTCAGAACAAAATAGTAAGCTTGCTCAAGACATTATTATCATAAGTGAGTTATTGTCATAACTCATTTGGATAATCCTTCATCTTGAGCTTCATAGATGACAACTATGTGTTGTGATGTCTGATGGTTATGCATTCCTGGACTTTTCTGAGCTAGTTTTCTTATTTTTAATAGGATATAGTGACTCCTCGGCAAAGACATGACAACAATTGGATGGCAAATGAGCCATGAGCACAAGGATGAGAAGAGGGGTAAAACAAAGGTCCCTAATTATAGGGGACAAAGTGACATGAAAGATTTGGAAAATGAGAATATAGTGGCGACACTGCCATAGAAAAATGAAGGAATCCCCATCAGGGTCCCAGGCAGGCATGAAGTTCCTGCTCGGTCCTGCCTTTCTTCTGCCTTGTGTAGCCAGGCACAGGACAAAACCTGCCTCCAGCTTCCCACTCCCCAGAGACCAGCACAGTCTCCTGAATCCTGCAAAACTGATTCCTATCACTCTCAGATGCCTTGAGCTGATGAAGAGGCTTGGGGTCTGGCTCATCCTTTACCCTTTGGTACTGATCCCCTGGCTTTCTAAGAGCTGAGTGCCAGTGTTTTTAGAATTTTGTCCCATAGCTCTAGGTAAGAAGAAAGAGTGGAAGATGGCTCGGAATTCTGCTTTGATTTGCCAGATTAATAGTGGTCTCACTGAGTTGCTCTTCTCCCTCTTACAGTGTGAACTTGAAACCCAAAGGAGCTGCCTGCTTGCCATCAGTACCTGGTCATTTGGATAGTCAGTGCCTTCTCTCTGGGAAGCTGAGTTCTTGGTGCCTTGGAGTCACTTCGGAGGCAACCTGTTCAGTGTTAGTGAAGATCAGATTAGATCAGATAATTTATTTGTTCTACTTTTGTTGAACTTGACTGTTTTAGAAAAATAGCTTTTTCCTTAAAATGGTTCCCTTGGGAACAAAAATCTTAAAAAAAAAAAAATTGAAGTGCAGTCAAGGATTTAGCAAAGCTGGTTCAACCTAAAACTGACATTGTCTCTGAGTGCTTGTTATCAAGATATTTTAAATCATTTTTTTTCTATCACCTGGCCCATCTGGGAATTCTCTTTCAAGCAAGCTGGAGTGGTTAGGTGCTAATGTGCAGGCTAAGGCTATGTGATCTTAACTTCATAGTCTGCATAAATCACAAGGCCTCTAGAAAAATCAGAGCCAGGATTCCAGAGCAAATGGAGCTTCTTGAAATGTTAATGGGTGTTAGTCTAGAATCCTCTGCAAGTTTGACTTTTTTAGATGCTGATGTTGACACCCCATGATGCACTTCCACAGTAACTAAAGTACCAAAACCTGTGTGTCAGTCATTTTAAAACAGAATGATGGCTTATGTCTGTAATCCTAGCATTCAAGAGCCAGAAGCTGGGTGATTGCTAAATTCTGAACTAGCTTGATCTACATAGCACCATGGGGCTTACATAATGAACTCTCAGATAAATAAGAAATCTATATGTCAGTATATAATTTCCAAAGAAATAAGAGACCGAACAGTATCCCACATGCTATTCCAATGAATAGAACAGATGCTTATATGTGTGCAGATTATTTCATACATGCCCCAAATTAACGAAGGGACCAGCACAATGTAAGAGGGATGTCAGAGAGGTGGGTGGAGCCACAGCCCAATGCCTTTGGGGCCTTGAATCTTCACTGTGTTACCCCTTGTTGAGACTCACTACATTTGGGATAACTGGACCATAGACTGTGAAGACAAGTGTGACCAGGCCACGGCCTCTTGTTTTATGTTCTGTGAGCTATCCATTTGCCTTTCTGATCAAAATCCCTCCGGGTTTCTGATCCGTGAACCGTTCTTGAGGCTCTCTTCTCAGTGCCCCGCCCCTTCTCTGTGCTCATTTTACTGTTATGATGGCATTTAGCAAACGGTTACCTGTGGATCCAGGGACGGGACTTCTTTCTCTTACCATCTACGTGTGGAGTCTGCGACAGGCATGATTCTCCTTCCTGCCATTATATCCATTCTTTATCTATAAGACTCTCCTCAGTTTGGTGAGCAAGGAAGCTGGGGCCTATTGTCACCCCTTGAAAATAACAGATCTAGAAAGAGGCAACGCTGGGATGTGAATACAGGTCACCTGACTCCACAGCCCCCAAGGCAGTCTAAAT